AAAGCTGAGACCGTAAGTAGAGAGAACAGAGCTAGTGAACTGGCTGCCAGGGTGCCATGTGTGACAGGACAGTCATGAAAGGGCAAATGGGAAGAGGCGGGAGCGGCTGAACTTTGTAGGGCACTTCAGAGTAAGTCACAGTTATGACCTATGATTGATGCTTTACAAGTTCTACTTCTTGAATGACCCTTTTGTATACTGCCTTAATACTTACTTTAAAAATAAATGACAGTAAAAGCCCTTTACACAGAGCAGTTACCAGATTGGCCTTGCCTTTTTATTATTTAGTATTGATATTTGGGCGTTATACATTGAACATTTTCATAGAAAAAAAATCAGCTAACTTCTTAGGAATGACTATTTCAAATTATTTAAGAAATTATTTATTTTAATACAAAATATACTATTTGTATTTGAACATAAGCAGCATCCTTAATTTTTCTTTGAATTTTTTAATATTTACCTATTCAAAAAAATACTGCATGTTATCTCAATGCTGTGATCTGTTAATGAAACAGTATGTATATTGTCACTATGTTGTGCTTGGAAGACTTATTAATATATTGGCTAATTATTAAATTAAGTTCATAAAATAATTTTAATATTCTGACTCTAGTCTTCTGGCTATTGCATGTCTACAGCATTCATCATCATTGTACCCTATTTATTGTCGCTCAGGTTTTCTTTACTCTTCTGACAAGGACTTACAATTGTCAGTATATAAAGATGTATGTAAGAGAGTTCATCCTGTAGAAATTAATATTTAAATAAAGAATGGCATAATCAGTGCTTAAGTTGATGCTTATTATCTTCTCATTTTGACTCTGTATTCCATAACCTAGGTGTATAACTTATCCCAAAACGTCCAGGAGGACGATCTTCAGCACCTCCAGGTAATAATATTTATACTTTTTTGTATAGCATCTGATAGTCTTTTGAACATACATGGCAGAACTTCAGGGAATGATTTAGAATCATAACCAAATGAAGGTTTTCTTTTTCTCGGGTTTCTTGTTTAGTTACTGTTTGGATGTGTTCTTCCTAATTTATTTTTCAAATTTCTTTTTTCCGATAAAGCTATTTGCTACCAATCCATGTGGTAAAAAATTGACAAAAAAGACTTTGGTTTAAAACTTACCAAAAGGGCCAGGAAGATAGCTTAGCAGTCTAAGCGCCTTTCTGGCAAGTGCAAGGACCCGACTTCAATCCCCAGTACAGCATGCTATATGAACTTCGGAACCCTGGCACTCTGAGCCAGCCACCAAAACTGGGTGTGGTGATGCACGCCTGTAATCCCAGTGCTGAGGAGGCTGAAAACAGGATCACTATGAGTCTAAGCTGTGCAGCAAGACCCTATACTTACTAAATAAATAATTAACTGATTAAAAAGAAATAAATAGAAATAAAAATTACCAAAAACGTGAAGTTGAAGTCTGAAGGTGAGGAATTTGGTGATTCTTAGTGTGACATATGCTAGATTTTTTATAGCCTATGGGCCACTTTGTGGGTAAGAACAATTAGAGGCTACCTGGTAATTCATAGACCTCTATTTGATCTGTAAGAGACATCAGTGGTACCTAATTTAGCCTTCATTTTTATATATGAGGAAGTTGAGGCTGAAAGAAATGAGTGACTTGCTGAAGCTCAAGTGGTGAATTAGTGATAGGAATAGGATTAAAAAATCTGGGCGTCTCCCTGGGCCCAGTGCTGTCCATTCTCCAAGCAATGCTTGACTCTCAAAAGACTATTTGCTGTTTCCGGGACTCCCTCTGCTCTCTCTCAGTTTGTGTTACTTTGGATGGATACCAAGACATCTTCTCATTTCTCTGATGACTTTCTCTCTGTATATTTTGTAGAATAATTTGCTCTTTATCTTGGCAATTAGAGCCATGTAGCATAATACTGAACATTTTAATAAATCTGAAGGATGATAGAGCAAAGTAATCCTTTTGCAGATAATAAAATATTAAATGGAGTTCTACTAGATACATTTTATGGCACTGATCACTTACGACAAATAGACAATATGCTGAGTAACTGTTAGATGTTTTACATAATTGAAGTAATTACTTTAGGCATGTGATAACCCAGCTGATTTACTTTTCAAGTTAGTGGCACAGTGCTGTTGAATTTAGGTGTTTCTGCAAAAGGATTAATTTTGGAATTTGGTACTGAGTCAGCAGTCTTTTTCAGGTCATTTAAAAATGCTCCCATAAATGCCTTTCTGCGAAGTGATTATGAATTCAGTCGTGTTAGTACATGATTCCAGTGTTTCCTTCCTAGCCCAGCTGCCTTTTGGGTGTGTCAGACTTTCATTTCATCACTTGTGCCGTTGCCCTGTTGCTCCCCTTCGGCTTCTGGATTCCCACTGCCCATCAGGAAAGACTGTGTGGTGCTGCGGGTGTCACTCTGCAGGGGCCAGGGTTAGAAACGCATTCCTGTCTGGCTCCCGGAGCCATGGCTGCCTGTTGGGCTCTGCAGAGGGGCACTTCTGGTGTTTGCACAGGGAACCCGCTCTGGCAAAGCCCTCATCAGGTTTACTTTCTCAACAATCCACTGATAATACAAAACTTCACATTATCGTGCTTTGTGCTCTCAGCTGAGAGCAATAAAAAGTAAAATATGGCCATTATGTAAGATACCACTTTTTAAAGGCTTGATGCCTTTCTGATAAACAGGTCACAACTTTGTAAATGTGTCCTGCATTATTTATGGCTCTCTAGTCTAATCTGGGCAACCTTTGCTTTAAGAGACGGTGTTTCCTTCTTCTCTTCAAAAAATTTTCCTGCATTTTAAATATAAAAGGTAGGGGTTTTAGAGCTGGGCCTTAGTGGTAGTGCATGAGCTTAGCATGCATGAAGCAGCTTAATCCCCAGCACGCGTGCGCACACGCACACACAGACAATATTTGTTTTACAATGAAATTTTATTTTTAAAATATATGCTACTTTATCTATTCATACTTATTTCCTAAAATAATTCATCTTAATGGTATAGTACTCTATTACAGCTAGGGAAAAATTGAATGGAAGTCAAGAAGTAAAACTGAAAATACTAAACTAACTCCCTCTCGCTGTCCCTCTTTTCCCTTCCTTTCTTCCCCCTTCCCCTCCCTCCCTCTGTGTATGAGTGTGTGATTTTTGTTCCAGCTTTTCACTGAATATGGCAGGCTGGCCATGGAGGAAACATTCCTGAAGCCCTTTCAGGTGAGTGAGGGTTGAATGATGGTAAATTCTTACTAGATTTTACTGAACACTATGACCAGATATATTAACCAGGGCCATGTTTCCTTCTTGTTTTCATTAAAGAAACATTTTTAAATACCTATTTGATATGAAGAGGAGATAAAAGTGGGAATAAAAAGGTACATTAGATATTCTGGTTCCTTGTAGAGCTTGCCTCCTCCAAGCTGTCCCATTGAGATGTCACGAAAGTCAGGAGACAACTGATAAATTTGTGAAATATAAAAATTCAAAACAAACAAGACTCCTGGGGACTGCAGGCTAACATCAGGGCAACATCTGAGCTTAGGTTGAGTCATCTCCTTCTAATCCTACATTTCTTTTATGCTGAGGACAAGAATCTGAGACATACAGCCCTTGTAAACTGTTCTTAGAGGAGGTACAGGTTTGTGCACCCGTGTCTGTCCATGTGCAGCACGACTTGTGCAGCCTGGGATCAGAGGGAACACGGGATGCACTCCGGAGCATAGCACATCCCTAGAGTCACAGCTGCAGCTGAGATGTGGGGCATAACCTGAGGAGAACATGAACACATCGAGAAGCTGAATGGTTGATAAAGGCAAGGGAGAGCTAGTGGCTCTGATGGAAAATTGCTGAAGATGATCTGTGTTCTTTGCTGCATCATAAATCATCTTCAGATACAAACTTACGACCTCACATGGTTCTTGAGCACCAGGAATGTGGAGTGGCTCTGCTCTGTGGTTTTGGCACAAGGACTCCCATGAAGTTGTTCCCAAGAAACCTCAACAGAACATTTACAGCTTCTCTGAACACAGAGGGGTATTAACAAGATAGCAAGAAATTACTAAGATCTGAGGGATAGGGGTGCAGGAAGGGGCAGACTAATGTGGCTGTATTAATCTCAAATAAAATAAGCTTTAAGAAAAAGCATTACTAGGGATGAAAAGGGTTATTTCTTAGTAATATGAGAATGAATTATGATTAAATGAATTGACAAATGTGTAGCAAGTGTGAATAAACATTTGTCTATTAAGTAATAATTTATAAGTAGTAGTAGCCAACAGTGGGAGTTACCCTAAGCAAACATCCTAGAGTGGGAGTACTCAGGAGTACCTTGTGACATCCAAAGGCAGTGAACTAGAAGTACACAGACTGTTCTGAATAGGTTAAGAGTCATATGAAAAGTGTAAGGTATATATCATGATACTGCTCGTAATTATTTCAGATGCTCTATGCACAAAATAACTTATTTAATTGGGTATGAATGGGAAAAGACAGTTGAATCAGAGTGGAGCTCTGGGAAAAACATAGTACAGTAAAGCAGGACAGGGTTTGTGCTTGGAGAGAGGCCGGTATGCCATGACTGAAGGAGCATGAATCTCTCCAGGGCCAGGGAAGGACAAAAGAAAAAAGCAGGTTGAAAAAAGCAGGTAGACTGTAGATCTGATTTACAGTCTTCATTACGGCTCACAATAACTACACTGTTGTTTTATTTTTAAATCATGTTTCAGTTTGATAGCTTAAGTGTTGTATGGGAGTTATAGCGTTACCTTGATTTTACTCTTCTCTGAAAAATCCTCCCCTAGGGACACTGGCAGGTGCTACAGGGAGGGGACTCTTGCAAATTCTAGAAAGAAATTTCAGGTGTCACCAGCAGGTGTCGCTGCTCTTACACTTTACCAGACGCTGAAACAAAAGATAACCAATTCTATGGTCAAAGAGAAGACAGAAATTGTGCTGCTATAAACATAGGCACACATATATCACTAGATATGATGTTTTCAGATCCTCTGGGAAAATTCCCAGTAGAGGAATAGCTGGTTTAATAGTGATATATGTGTGCCTATGTTTATAGCAGCACAATTTGTGATAGCCAAATCTTGGAAACAACCAAGATGCCCATCACCTGAGGAATGGTTGA